ACTTGACGAACGCTCTCGACATGGTACTGTCACCTGCAATTCGGTGCCCTCCCCCTAAAAGTTCCGGACTTCTTGCATTAAATTTTCAGGTCCTTATTATTTTTGCTTTTATACCCGTCTATACCTGGAACCTGTCTTACCAAGAGCAAAATCCGGCTCGCACCCAACCAAGCAACATCAGGCGACACCCGCAACTTTAGTGCAGCATGATCGCATTTTTCTGCTGCTGTCCTGAAAGACTGCAGTTTAACCCTGAATGTGACGCTTTTCTCAAATATGAACGCAGTTCAAACAAAGAAGGTTATTTTTGTCAACACTTTGCGTGCATTGCAGGCGCCACAGAATAATTTCTACAAACGTTCGTTAGTGCATGAGCTAAGTATTGATCAAGATGGGGTTCACAATCGAGGTAGAAGCGTTTTGTTGAGCAATATGCAACGACCGAATCCTTCCTTAAGGCATGTGTGGAGTCTGCGGACACTTCAACCTTAAAAGAGGAAGGGCCCAACGAACAAAAGAATCATTTAATGCACGAATTCAGTTAATGACGCGGTACACAATCATAGCGCTTCAGACCCGGGCAAGACTCCTTATTCGGGAAAACCAAATTTCAAAGAACTGAAGCAAACATTGCGGCCATCGCGGCACCAGCCGCACGACGCCCGACAAAATCTCTTTGCCATCGCTGCTAGAGCTCGAGCTCTTCAGGAGTGATCCTAAGAACAAGTGATGTGAAACTACTAAACCATAAAAGCGTGTTCCCTAAACTCAGACCGCAGGAACATGGAGGAGCGGAAGAGCGATTTGTCAGTGGTTTACAAACCTCAAACGCTGACCAGACTGCCGACGATCTCTGGTTCAATGATGAGATACATTCGTCCTCAGAGCCCAAGTTAAATCCAAGAACAATGTGCGCTCCGGAGAAACTAAGCCCGACATCGTACATGAGCCTGATCTTTGCACCAAGTTAAGTGTGCGGCATGGGTGGCTATGTCCATGCATGGTTTTATTAAACCATTCTGGTTCGAGGAATACGACGGCCGCCCGACTACAGTGTGTGCGCGGCGATTTCTGGAAATCTCGGGAAGCTCTGAGAACATCTATGAAGACCATTAGCGCACGAGCGTACCAATCAGCGGTTGCTACAGGACGGGACTATTTGTAGCACCATGTATGCGAAGATAGCCGTCAGCGATCGCTGAGGCCAAAGCAGCAAAGGAATGCAAGATTCCAGCCATACTGTGATACAAGTTTAACCAACACGTGACGTCGCATCGCTAAGAAATCAGGGTGACTACACATGCAGAACATTGGACCTGCTGCGTGAAGATCTGGCGTTCTTAAAGTAATAGGTAAAGCGACTATTTCCAAAATTGAGTGCTACAGTTACGTTCGGGACACCTCATCTTTATCATCCACAATGTTCCGCGTATTCAGAAGTGGTAGTTTAAATGAAATTTTACAAATTATGTATATACGCGGATTGGATGTTCCGATGTCCTTCCGTTAGGCATTAAGGTGCAAAACATGGCCTGTGCTATACAACAAACAATATATTTTCCGGATCACCGCCACGGAACAATTTAGTTGTGCATAATCGTTTTATATATGCGGTTGGCTGGGTGCGGATCAACAGCAAAATTATTTGACTCACACATGACACCCAAACATCTGTTATTGGTCCGATTGCTTGCATATTTCACCACCACTGCCATTTGAAAGGGATGAAATGAAAAGCGAAGACTTCACGAAGCCTTCATTTTCCCCTACTCCCTTGGGCATTGGGACATTCCAACCGGAAAACAACACAGTATGCCATGGACACACTGCGTCAAACTGCTTACTCGCTTTATATACTTCCATTCGGGTCACAAATGACAGAAATACGTAACGATGCTCTTACGACGGTCTCTACCCTGCCTACTAGACTAGCTCCTGTCATGATGTTACTACTGTATGATCACCTCCTCTATCAACTCGATGCCATGACAACATGAGGCGATACGACTCAGGGTGGGAAGATGCAAAGAAAATGATGTGACTTTGCTCATAATGCGTTGGCCAAACGTGAACCATTCAGTGAGTGGACTCGTAGTCTGAACCAGTCGGCCATCGCGACTGGAAGTCACGAACGCCCGGAAGGTTGAAAGTGGGGATGCAATGGCTACCGTCCTTGTGATGTACCAATAGCCACTGTCACTCCGACCAAAACAGACTACTACAGCGGTCAGCGGTGCACTGGAGGTGAGTCCGAGTATCAGAAGCAAAGTTAACGAGGGACACTGCAGTAATTACGCGGAGTCACTACGGGAGTTACGTTGAGATGCGGTAGATACTGGACCACCTCGGCTTTAAAATCGGTCCCGCATTTCCATGCTTTTAACAGAGATTTGTCATTAAACAAACACTAAGTGATCATTTAAGCGCCTTCTCACTGTCCCTCGTCTTATTTTATGGCTTGTTTATTCGTCGGTAAGGTAAACACATCGATAAATACGCCAACGCCACCTACTATGAGATCCTCAACAGCAGCTCCTCAATCTGCGTTCGCGCGAAAGGCCCGGAGATGCCAGACCACACGCCCTGAAAGCCCACCCCCTAACGAATCTGCATTCGTTCCGGCCATGGGGCGCCCGCGTGCCGAAGCAGGAAGCTCTCAGCACCACGCACTAACGCGCGTGAAGCGCCCCCATGAAAGCGCGTCAGAAATGCGGAGCACGCCTGGTGGCGACAGCCAGCACGCGGCCGACTTCCGGGAACGCGGCTCGCCGCGCGCCCGCGCTCGGAACCGCCGCCGCTGGCGGACGCCGGCGCGCCGAGATAGCTGAGCGACGGAAGCCGGTTTGCCTCCGAATGGCTCGTGTCACGAGCACACCGAACACTTCGCGGACAAGCGCCGGCCTCAGCCTCCGCGCTCGGGGTCGCTGGGAACGTTTCTAATGCTCGCCCTGCCCCCCTCGCCCCCGACGTTCGGGGCACTGGGAACGTTTGGTGAAGAGCTGTCAGAGCTGGAGGCGCCGCGTGGGTTGGAAGATAAATGTGATGTCTCTGAAGTGGGATTAGGGTGGAGTTTTGAGCCCATGGCTTCGGTGGATAAGAACTGCGTCGGCGGGTTAAACGCATACCGCGCAGCGAATCTTAAATACGAAATGCATGATTCGCTGAGTCATGATGTTGCTCTTCGTCAATACAAGCGTTCATAGGTGAGCAAAGAACAAAACCACGTGAGCATTAGAGCGCACGAGCAGCAAAATATTGAACGAGCATGCAAATATTATTTTTCTCGTTAGATCTCCAACGCCAACTCAATTAGCCAAACATGCGTTCCAGCCTAGAGCACGACACGTGCTCTAGATATGCAGATTATGCAGATACAATCACGATCGTTCACGTTTGGCGCCCACGAGAGCACGTGGTCCGAGTGGCCTCCTTTCCGCTCAACACACGTGATGCCACGCCCCTCGACATCTAGAGGTACGTATATACATTATGGCCTGGCAATGACCGTGCGAACGCTGGTCCCTAATAGAGACGAATCAATCGGTTGTCTTAGTCCAGCGCCCCGAACGCATCGGCGACGACGGCGAGGCTTGTTACATCGGCGACAGCGGAGGTACTACCGCAGCCGCCACTCGTCAGCTCGGATGGGGTCGGGGACGGACCGACACGGCGGTGGGGCCGGGCGGGCCGGTCCCGTGGTAGACCGGGCCGGGGCGGGGTGGGCCGAGACGGGCCGGGGCCGGGGTGGGGCCGGGGCAGGGGCCGGAGCCGGGATGGGCCGAAACGCGGTAGGGGTGGGGCGGGGTCGGGCCGAGGTGTGGCCGGTGCCTGGGTGAGGCCGGGGCGGGCCAGGGTCGGCCGAGACGGGGAAGGGCCGAGGTGGGTCGGGCCGGGGCTGGGCAGACCACCGCGCGCTGACCACAGCACGCGGCCGCCGGGCCGCGACGGGCCGCCCGCCGCCGCCGAAAATAGCCGGCGCCGCCGCCGGCCCTGTGACGTCACAGTCACCGTCCGTGACGTCACAGTCTGCTGAGCGCAGACAGGCGGAGCGTGAGAGCGGGAACTGGACCGACGTGGACCGGCGGGCCACGGCGGCGACCTCGGTGGTACGCCAGGTGGCGACAGAACACACGGGCTGGCCGGCGTGGCGACGCGGGACGAGGCGTTCACTTGCGGCGGGTCCGGCCGTAGCTCTCTCAAATTACTGCAGCCGTGTGGAGAGAAACGTATTCTGCATTGTGACAGGATGTAAGGAAGTTTTTTTAGGCAGAGCATAAACAGTATTTTTACCTGCAGGTGAAAGCATGGAAATTAATTTCGGAGATCCTGGGCTTGTTTGATCAAGTTGAGCATAAGTGGAAGCTTTTCTAAGTTGGTGTATTTTGAAGAAAATCGAGGGACTCTAAGCAAGTTTACATAAAACCCGTCTTAGGCCGTTTCTGGGATGTTCGACGAAATGCGTTTAAAGCGAAGCATAAATTTACCGGCAATGGCGGAGCCATGCCATGTCATTGTCAATGTTATAACATTGATATCCGCGAGCAATAGGTACACGGGCGACCAAATCAAATTATATGCTGCTGGCTACTATAAGTGTCCAAGTGATCCGAAAACGAACTAAACAAATCGCTAAATATATGTTTAGCTTAACATAAGTCACGTGACTTGAAAACAGGTCAGCCGGCGACCACCCCCACTCTGGCCATTCTGCCAGTCTGCCTGAAAGCCAGGATCCATGTCAACCAACAGAGTGCACACGCAAATGAGTGTGCTCTTTGAATTTCAAGCAAAAGAGCACGTGCGGCAAGAGTTATCTTACATAGCATGCACTGCCCATTCTGCTCTTCGGACTGCTGTGGCGGCGTTCCAGTACTACACCGAAGTTAGCTTATAGGCGAGGTCAACGCAGGTCATGGCGAGGCCGTGCACGCCCTCATCTTCTAGTGACCCGAGTCAAAGCACACACAGACACACAAATCCGCCAATACGAGCAAAATCACCTCGTCGTTGAAGAAGCAGTAGATGCAGCAGACGAAGAGGCCCTGACAGGAGCGCAGGAAGGTGGTGATGTAGCTCCAGAGGCCGAACTCCAGCGGCGAACGATGCACCGGCGAGGTCATCATGTTGAAGGAGTTGGTGATGCCCAGCAGCGGCAGCAGCACGAGAGCCGCCCTCACCGACTTCCTGTCGTGTCACCGGAGCATGACACTGTGTACCGTCCTGCCGCCCAGCTCAGGACAGGCACGCTGCGCCAGTGCGGTCAGTCAGCTTCATACCAGGCAGGCACGCTGTGCCAGTGCTGTCACTCGGTTTCACACCAGACATATGTATGCTCGGCTGGCACTCCTCTCCAGACCAGACCAGACAGACTTCACACCAGACAGATGTTCCCTGGCTAATGACCACTCCAGGGACGGATCCAGAGGGGGGGGGGGGGCGCACCAACGGAGCCCAAGGGGATCATGGCACCCTTGGGCCCCGAAGTGGTCCATGGGCTCCGAAAGAGCCCATAATCGGCTAAACAGGCGCAGTTTTTTTACCCTTTATCTCTCTGCTTTTTTCGTAGGGCCCTACGCTGCTGTTGGGACACTATATGCCAGCTTGCCTGGGCACTCTCGATCGATCAGCGGCCCTCCACGGATTCTTCCCATCTGCTCGAAGGCCTCTACACGCTTTTGCCGTGTCCCCATATGCCGGGGTGCACTTAGTTGCTCAGGAGTCCTTCATATTGGTTTTGTGCTCGGCAGCGGGAATTTCTCCATGCAGGTAACTTATTGAACAGTGAAATGCAAAAAAAAAACAACAACAATGTTTCACAATAGTTGACATATGACATTGTCTCGTCTAGACCCTTAAAATCGATTTTATCTCTAATTTTGGCCTACACGATCTTACACAGAGGTCTCGCCCCATGCGTTGCATTGGCTCTGTTCGAGCGAGTCTCTGTTTCTTGACTGTATTAATATGGTGGCCGGCTTTTGGTATCAGAAAGCAGAGCCCTCTATTCAGTTGTCTTTTATAACCATTTATATCTATGGTTTCTGTGTTTACATCCATCGATGTACAATGACACTAGATCGGAAACGGCTATGCCCTGACTGTAGCTCGTCAAAGAGGGGCATTATGCGTTGCACTAACACGCGCCCGGGTGGCCGGCTAGACACCCTTCGCTCGGGTGGGGGTGGGGGGTGCGGGGGTCAATTTGACCCCCCTGAGATCTCGGGAACTAACAAAGCTAAGGACACCAAATTTACTGGATGTATTTACTTGTACGTGAAATCACTTAGGTCAAAGTTTGAGCTTCCTACGTCGTACCTTCAGGTCAAATAAGGTCAAACAAGGTCAAATTACAGGTTGGTATCTAAAGTGCCTCAGAACCTAGGCAACTGTTTCTAAGCAAAAGGTCACAAGTCCATTTGAGGTCGGTGACATTGTTTGAGCTTTTGAAGGTCATGGTGACCAAAATCATACAACACTGCTCCGAGTTTTGCATTTGAATAAGCGACAAAGATTACGCTAGGCAGTATGTTCCTGAAACAAAATGTCGAGCCGAGTCATCTTAGGTCAATAACCTGTTCTGACCTCTAAGAACTCAATGGAAGATGTATTATGCGGTTCTTGCTGTCAATAAATTCGAAATGAGCACCTCAAACTGTCCATACAGCAAGCCCCAGAGTAATAAATCGGGCTGGTTTTGACCTTAGTCTGACCTTCATACCTGACCTCGGGTCAATTTAATTTGCTCATTCAATATTTGTGGTGCCTAAGAAGGCGTCTCAGAGATGTATGGCTTTGTCAAGCACTTCGTTATTGTATCAGATTGGACGATTCCCTAGACATTGCCTTCGCTGAAACCATGGCTTGACTTTGACCTGTCATAAGTCAGCGACCTTACGAGGTTCCGCTAAATTTTTGATGTCATGCGATCCGCTATTCAATTTTCAACAGCTATCAGGATTTGGTGCGGCTACGCCTTGCCGTTCGGAAATTATTCTGGAAAAAACCTTCGGGTGGGATCAATTTGACCCCCACCCGAGCGTGTGTTAACCTAAACACACATATATAGCTGGTACGGGTAGGACTCGACGATATCATCTGCCTCAATTAATAACGCGTTGACTTCGGTTCGTGAACTCGTGCGTTATACAAAAGAGCACCTTGAGGTTAGGTTGCCTCTAACTCACCCGGTTTACCTTAGTTTGTCCAGGTTGCCCACGGGTCTATACCATTTCACAGCTGATGCCCCTTTTATTACACACGTCTGCTAGTAATTTAACATAGGTGTTGCCGATTTAGTGGCGCTAGATATCTTTGCCTTTCTCACAGATACTCGGATAAAAATGTATTTAAGCCGTTCTAATGACGGGACTGCTTGGGTCATAGAGCTTGGGGCGCAGGTTTTCCAACTGTGCTTTTTCCAGCACTAAAGCCTGACTTTCCAATGTATCCTCTCAACACTAACGTGCAGAACAAAGGAATGACGGTTTTTTTGCTCAGTCAACCGCACAATGGGCTGGAAGGCTCACAAAACTCCCTGCAAAGCACGGTATCGTGGAGGAAAGCAAATGCGCGTGGTTATCATTCATACAATGTTCACGCGAACAGCAGAACGCCATTCTGTCTGGTAACATTGCCTCACCTATGCGCCGTATGTACTCCAAGTCACAAGAAAAGTCATGATCTCTTGAAATGGTCTCTGCTTGTGCTCCGCATGCACGTACGGGCGCGTTTCGTAACACACCATTATTGCGCTTGTTTCTCCATGAATACATCTTAAAGCCCACACTGAACAAAATAACGGCGTCGAAATCTTGAAGGCTTGGCGAACGAATACAAAAAAACGCACACCAACAAAAGCAAATACAACGCCTTGTAGATGACTACCCCACCTTGTCGCACTTTAGGCATCAGGGCTAAATGTTGCACACTTCTACATGTGTAGCTTAAAAGCACCCCTTTAGTGGCGTGTGGGCTTATCGATTTTGAGCCCCACATCTACATTCAGACCAACTTCAGAAGCTGGAGTTGCTGCCGCCTGTAACGTTCGTTCACTTGCCTCGCTTGCTCACTGTACGTCTGAGTGTTAAACGAACATAACAGTAGCGGGCCCAAACGACCGGGTGTGGCCACCGACTGGGCAGACGGCAGACGACTCCAGCCTGCCAGGCTCCAAGTCCGTCGCAAGGCAATTTCCGCCCACATTTCCCCGCCTTCAGTCCCGGAGGTCAGCCGGAAGAGCGGGCAGCACCGGTTACCATGGCCGCAGCCGGCCGTCCCAGTGCGGCCAACCGGCTCTGAGTCCCCGGGTGGCCACCCTTGCGGTCCGCGTCCGGCTGCGGGCTCCGTCTGCCGCTGGTAAAGTTGCCTCGCCTGGGACGGGCGGCGGCGGGCCAGCTGCACGCGCGTCGGAGGCACCCGGGGCCGCACGCTCACAACGCGACGCGCCGCAACTCAGACCCGACATGCGACGCCGCTAATTCACGTCGGGCGTTCGGTATGGAAGTCGCGAGTGCACTTCGGGTGCATTCAACACTGGCTGCGCAGAACCAGCGGCTTGCAGCTGTCTGTCCGCCCGAGCAGCTGCAGCCATATTACACGTCGAGCAGCGGCGGAAAAAAACTTCTGAGTACTGCCACCGCGACACTTAAAATGCGACGGAGCTGGTTGGAGACTGCCTCGTATCGCACGCCGCAGCAACAATCGCCAACGCGATGAAGCACATCTTTCGACGCCTGCTCCGGTGTCCACGACGCATTTAGCTGCAATCCCGCCATCAGAACGCGCCGGTGCACTGCAGATAAAACGTCTGGCCACCAGATAGCCGGCTTACAGTCATGGCCCGCGGGCATGGCTGTAATGCGGGTATCAAACTATTGCGCACAACTCACGGAAGTCCGCCCGTCCAGCTGGCGCAGCCTGTCTGCCAATCAGCCGCGGTGCTGCGGGCGAGGCTCAACTTACTTGACTTTGGCCGCCTCCCTGGGATTCTCGTGCGGCCCTCTGAGCTTCGTTATCAAAATGCGCAGAATGTTCAGCAGGAACAGGATGTTGACCTGCGGAAAGAGGGCAGATGGCGTGAGCAGACGAGGTGGAAGACTGCGACGCACTGGAGATCAGACGGCTCGGAAATATGTGGGGAGAATGGCGACTGGCCACGTGCCTGTACACTTGCGTTGGACAGCTCCTGGCTGATGCAAGTGGCAGGGATCGGGCTCCCGGCTCATGGCACCTGCGTCCGCCGGCAGAGCGTGCATGGCCTCGACCTGACCTGGCCAGCATCCGAGCCCCGAGGACTCAACTGCATGAAGTGGAGCCCCGGCTTCGACACTTTAAGGAGATCGTACGAGCGTGTGGGCTGAAAAAATTTCTCACTTGAACGCACTCATCTCATGGAACTTGCAATGCAATGTACTTACAATGTAAAACACATGCATGCTCGAGCCAAATCTCGACAGATGCAGTTGACAAAATGGAAGCGAACGTTTGTGAGTCTTGTGGCTTCATGAAGCTGGCTTCGGTGTGGAGCCAGCGGCAAGACATCGTGGCTGATATACAGAATGTGCTAATCGCCGAATAAGACCCCAACTCGAGCAGCGATTCAGAATCCCGAGTAACGGATCTGACGAAAATGATCAAATCAGAAATAACGGATCTGACGAAAGTGATCGAATCAGAAATAACGGATCTGACGAAAATGATCGAATCAGAAATTGCGGATCTGACGAAAATGAGCGAGCAGTAAAAATCGACGAAGGAGAACACTGTTTGCACAGCGTGAATTCCATTTTGCAAGACGCTGCCGCGTTCCTGCAGCACCCGCCGAAGAACGCTATTCGCTGGGCTGTTTCCATGGTGAAACATTGCATAACGGCCGCCCGCTGTCGGGCTCGCGCCACCCGACACCACTGCAGAATTCCCACAGCTGGCATTCTGCCCGGCCTCGCTCGCATAACAAACGAGAGCTGTATCTCTTTCGGCAAATGTCAGGGCAGCCGACATTTGCCGCTCCCGGGAACAGGAACAACGGGTGGTAAGATAAGTGGCGCAGGGCAAGGGCAGGGCGAAACGAGCCTCAACGTGGTGCAACGCGACCTGAACCGGTCTCCGTGAAAGCGCGGCGCGCGCCCGTACGTTTCCCCCGGTCACGCTTACTAGCGCGGCTCTGGTAGCGTCGGGAACGGACCCGCGTCTGACGTCATGCGATGGCTCCACCCCGCTGTGACGTCACAACAAGCGACTTCGCCGCGTTTACTAACGCGGCTCAACACTGGAAGCATCGGGAGCGGAAGGGCATCTGACGTCACATAATGGCCCCGCCCCGGCTGTGACGTCACACTAAGCGGTACGCTGCGGCGTGGCCGCGCGGACCGTCGCGTATCTAGGACGCCGCCGCCTCGGTGGGTGACCTCGAGAACTGTGACGTCACGGCACACTGTTGCCGGCCGGGCAGACAGCGCGAAGCCTTAGCGACAGACGCTGGCAGAGCGCAATGGCGCAGCAAATCAGGGGAGTGCGGGGGTTGCCCCCCCCCCCCTCCCCTTTAAAGCTTGCATTTTCATTTTTCACAGCAGACTATTCCCGACAGAAAACAGTTAATCGGCGTGATGCCTTCTCGCTGAGTTTTGCCCTTACCCCATCCCCATCCCCCTATGCAGTCGTGGATGCGGCACTGACGGGGCGATGGTGGCGGCGGCATAATCAAGTTCTATCCCTTATGGTATGTTCAAAATGTTGTCAGTGCAAAGGCTTTGGAAGCGAAAAGACCTGCCGTTGGCTCTTCCGCTCTTACTTGCATGCAGTTTTATGCGGAAGGTGAGCGACAGGGACGTCCGACGAACAGTGATCGAGCGACTCTGTGCGCGGGAGCAACATCGCTTGGAAAAATCTCTACGCACGATGCGAATGTTACTCAGGCTTGCGCGTATGATTTTTGTTCCAATGTAACTGCGTCCTAAACCCCAGACAGGGGCCCATATTGCGAACCCGTCTAGAAAGCAACTGAAAGAGACCCTCATGCCTTTGGCCTTTCCTTGAGGCCTCCCAATGGCCTCTCAGCCCGCTACAAGGAGCCACACAATAAGAGCCGCGTAATAAAATGTTTCCAGGCACTTCCTCATGTGTTCTCCCACGTTCAGTAAGCCGCATTGACTAAGGAGGAACGGTGCCGCGCGACCATCCCACGTGTGCGCTTCCAGACACACTCAAGGACCTGTTCAAGGGTCAAGGATCTGATCTGTCCAAAGTCGAAGAGGGGTCCCCTCCAGCCAAATGCTTCCTCGAGGCTCCCTGCCGCGCCCATGACGCAATTATTGGAAATGGACAGCTGTCGTCATGGGCATGACTAATGCTCATGCAAAGCTGCCGACTCTTGACCATCACCCCCAGGGTTGTACCCGTGGCCCAATCAGCTATCTCGTGCCAGCCGAAGCGACCTTGCACCGATGGCTAATAAGGTCATGCCAATCTCTGTCACATTGACATTCATGACGGCTGATGCATAGCATCTGCCCCAGTCTAGATATGTGAAGTGCGAGCCTTGAGCCCCAGCTGTCATGCCATTTAACATGACAACGTGTCCTGGTTCCGGCTGATTCTCGCCATCGCTGGGGTTCCGGCTGATTCTCGCCTTCGCTGGCGTTCCGGCTGATTCTCGCCATCGCTGGGGTTCCGGCTGATTCTCACCATCGCTGGGGTTCTGGCTGATTCTCGCCATCGCTGGTCCAGAGGGCGCTCAGTGCCGCCGATGCTGATTAAACACCGCCTGCCTGCACCAAGGGTACCGCCTGTCTGCATCAAGACCTGACAGCTGACGCTGACAGACTGTGAACGGGCTGGGTCTGCGATAAATCGGTTTACAGACAGAGGCAGGGCTTTCAATTATGCCAGCTCTTCAGCCTTCGGAATTTCAGACGAAAGATAATGGCGATGTATAGGTGGTCTGTGAATCGTATGGGCTGAAAGCCTTTTTGTGAGATCAGAAGCTTTATTGGCTGTAGAAAAAATAACTACAGGAAACTTCCTGGCGGACCAACTCCCTTCAACGGCGAGTCAAAACGTTTGCAATTGTGGGCAAATTTCTAGCAGGTCTGCGTATGTTGTTCGCTGGTCTGGTAGCTGTCAGCCCGCACCTTCTACGAAAACGGGCAGCATGTGTGGACCCCGGTCATCAAAGATACTTTACCCCTTGAATCGTCCGACATTATCAATGAGTGAAGTTAACTATTGCGCCCATGAATTCATCGGTCTGGACGCACAATATTCGTATTACACATGACGTGAGCAGTGACGCTGAAGCGACCCAGTGCATTCTCACGACCCACAATCGGGCACGAACGTGGAGTCCGCGATTTTCTACGCATCGGATAGCTCATTGTTTTGGGAATGTTAGAGGAATAGCCATGTTGCAATTTTTGTTTAGTTCTAACAGTACCATTATGAATGCAACTCCAATTCACACTTAAACGCAGCCTGTCAGTTGCTTTTAAGGAGCTGTGCCCGACACGTATGGAAAAAAGCGCATCACACAATGCAGTGGTTGAGCGTCGCACCGTGCCTTCTTCCGCAATAAGGAACGTGCCACGCTCGCCCTCCGCCTGCAGATTGTCTTCGTTCGGTTTTATTTTTCTGAACCTGCAAGTGTTACACACCCAAGTCATGGCAGATGGAACCAGGCGACGAAATGCCGCAATGACGCCTGCATGCTGTGGACCTTTGAGCTTCCCCGAGTGTGCTACCAGAGCCAAATCGCCTCGCGACATTTCAGCATGTGAACCGCGTTTATCATTAAGGCCCCAAGAGAGCTACCTACAGTCACGGAGTCATGAGCTCGCCGACCGCCGCCTCACATGCGACGAAGTAGCTGCCGGGCCAAAGGTCAGAGGTCGGACGACGGAGGTGACATTCTCTCCCTTCTGGCTTTGAGATTGTCTACATCGCGGTGCTGTTGGCCACTGGATGGAGTTAGAACCAAGGTTCGTGCGGAAAAGTATGTATGCACGATGTACTTACAAAACTGTACGAATGCCAATGCAGCTATGCTATAAAGTTCTTATGGCAAAAGCATGTCCGCAAAAGTTTGTGCGCGAAAGTTCGCAAGCAAGTGTGCGTATGGTGTAATGAAGGTATGGAAAATATTAGTTAGCATTGATGAAAGTTCGCCAGGACAAAAGTTCAAATGCCAAGTACATGTACGTCACGACAAAATTAGAGGAGTAGGTTTGCATAACGTTGGTAAGCAATTCTTTGTCAGAAATTTTACTTACGCCCTATATTCGAAACAAATAAAGTTTTTTCGATGAAAGTACGCCGTCAGCACTGATCATATAATAACAAGTTGGTGTTGGAAATGTTCCTATGATGAGTGTACACGACATATCGAACAGCCAGTCCCCAAATTATGCAACGTCAGCTCTCAGATTTCGCTGAAATTTGGTCCTTTCCTGCATCATCTGAAACATAGCATTTGACAGCGTAATTTTAATCTCTTCCCGGCGTTCACTGTAGAAGAGAGGAGGGCCTCATGCAATATTGGGTCGGGTGCAGTTGCGTCTTGTTCAAACAAGGTCGTAATCAAAACAAGTGCAGCTGGTGCATCTTTCGCTCTGAAGTCTGGTTCACATTATATAAACAATCGTATAACCGATGCCTGCACTTAGCGTCCGCCCGCCCTATTCCAAAAGCGAGCAGACTGCCGCCGCGACCAGCTGGCGTCAGTGGCGCGCTCGCGAAGCGTTCCCGCGGGACCGTTGGCAGGGGCGTCGTCGTGGTGAGGGACGAAGAAGAACATAAAGCGCGACTAATGATCTGCAATGGACAATTTTTCAAGTTTTTACACCCGTTCCCTGCCATGCACGGGGCATTTTGCACTGCTGTCATAAATTCGGACTCATTTGATAGTCGCCGGAGGGCGTTTAATCTCATGATGCGAAGGGTTTACATGCCATAATAGTTCACCTCACCTGCGCAGTCGTCGCTGTTCACCGCCACCCGGCATCCCCTCTAAGTGTTCCCGGTCGATGGGATGTGGTGGCCCCCGCACTGACCGTTCAGCCGACGTCCGACGCCAAGGATGACGCTCTGTGTTCGAACTTGCAGTACACATCTACATGCCTTCTTTTGCTGTACGCACTTTGTCAGACAAAGTTTACCCAAGAGAAACACTGGCATACGAGCTTCGCGTACTTACATGATGCACTGGGAAACGAACTTTGGCGTGAGCAGTTTTATGGAACGAACTTATCCCTGACGAACATTTACGTACGGACATTGCACACTTACATCCTACATCAGCACATAAAATTTGCGAATGGACTTCTGTGATACGAATTTTATCCCGAGCGAAAATTTGCGGGTTACTTTGCCGACAAGCAACTGCGTACTAACTTTTTCCATGCGAGCTGTTGCGCGTACATTTTCATGAACTAATTCTCAAAGAACAATTAATGTTCTGCCCTTTATCCTCCACAAACTTTTTGCTTCATGAACTTTTTATGAAACGAGCTTCATATCCTACATACTTCACCCTGACCAAATTAAGGCATACAAACTTTGTCCTACGAGCAATCACGAAGCATTTTTTACGCCACATCTTCATCTACAACCCATTAAGGTGGACTGGAACATCGGCATGCCACAGACAAATCTCGATCAAGGTTCTTCTCGCAGCGCACCGGTTATGATGCTCTTTTCTACGTGACGTCATGCCGAACCTTTGCAAGACGTGTTCGCAGCGCAAAGCATTTCCTATTATATCTTCATAGCTTTCGTGACAATAACTGCGCATGCGGGACACAAGCATGTATGTTCGTACGAAACGCGTGGGTTCCCTACATTGACAACCACAATCTATGCTGTTTGCAATGTGCACCATGCCCCTTCATCACCCGTGATAGACTCTGGGCGCGTAAGTTTACTTGTTTATGATCGAACCTGCCGCATCATCTCTGTCTCACTGCGGTTCAGCAACGGAAAAAGATTACGCTCGTTTGGCAAAGACCATATACGACTTCACGTAGAATCTCTGTCGTCCGAGTCACTGTGAACACCGAAAGGCCCAGAATCTATGGGGATGACGTCATGAGTGACGTCGACGGCACAGAGGTCTTTGTCACCCGCATCGCCGCGAATACACCACAACATCCCCGGTTTCTTTCTGTAATGCACTAAAAAATCGCGATCTTTTCCACGTTTAATTGAGAAACCCACGAAAGAAAAGTACCTAACAGCTCTTAAAGCTTTTTGCAAAATATGCATGAATAATCTGCCTACGTGCACAAACAGCTTGGAACCATGGACTGGAATACAATTACCGTAGGCATTAAAAAAGGACAGGTAGAACTTCAGCACCACTATGACGATCATGAAGGTTGCTGTGATCGTACTGGACTTGCAACATTTTTTTTTATCGCACACGCCTGGAGTTATAAGTTCTATGATACAGGCCCTTACGTTTTAACTAGCTGGAAATAAGGTGTAATGAAGGCTGTTAGGGCCAAGTTAAGAATTCCGGTTTCGGGGCCCTGAAAGCCTGGCCTTAAAATCCCGCCCTGATTCGCCGTTTTTCAGGACACAGACTGATAGAATATCGATGCGACCCCTTGCCGTTTCCAAACTAAGGAGGATAGAGATTAGCAGAAAACGCCAGTTGGCTATTCTTAGCAAGCTCTCGTAGTTAACAATAAGTTGTATATTGCCACATCGATAATTAGCCCATTGTACCAGATCAAATGTCAAATTCTCCAGAAAATTTGGTATATTTGTGCCGCGGATGGACATAAATCGTACAGTTGATGTGGCAGTAAAAGCTTCTTTAAATGTGTGAAACATAAAAAGGACGTCCTTTCACCAGTAACTAAGGAAGTGCACAATCATGTTTTGATTGATCCTTGAGTCAAATCTGATCAACTCGAAATATTTGCATATCGAAACGGTATGCGTCGGTCTTGCGCTTACGAACGGTCTTGCGTTAAAATTTTCTAACGTCGACTCCCAGTTAAATAGGCGCCAGGATATCATAGGCGGATCCTGGGCGGGGGGGGGGGGGGCACGGAACCATGGCCCCTGAAAACTTCTGGGAGTATGTTTTGACCCCCAAAACATTTCCAGAACTTCATAAAAGTTTCGTCCACTTACCGTCCGCTTTAACTTAAATGTTTTAACTTCTGTTTAAGATTCAAAAGCATTTCGGTGCTTTTTCTCGGTTTTGATTGGTGTTCCTACTAGGTACTCGTGAGAGGCACCATGCACTGGACCTCGGATCCCACACCAGTCAGCTGGCGACAAACGGCTGCTCTCCCCCAAATTCCAGGCTAGATCCGCCCCTGCAGGATGTCTTGTACAACCGAGCGTCTTATATATTTGGGCTTTGGTACAGAGGCAAGCTATGTCCCCCTCAACTGGATTCGATAGCTCCACTGACAGAGTGTGTTGCCAAGGCAGAAAAAATGCAAGAAGCAACGCTTGCAACGGAGAGCTGAACGGGAGGCAACGTTTTTCTTTCCAGAATGTGACAAGCGTTCCCGCTGATAGACTTTTGGAAGAGTCAAGGCGCAAAAAGTTTGTCTCAGCCTTCTTTAACCTGCGACCAAAAAATCCTTAAACCCTACCCAAAGCAGCAAACCTGCAAACAACTGCATGTTCTTGGGTATAGCTTCCCAGATGAGTAGTGGGGGGGGGGAGGAGGGAGGGGGGGGGGGGGCAGTGAAAAATTATGGTGTCTTCCCCCAAAAAATGATACACGGCATTCTCCCCAGATTCGGCCCACTTCATTCTTGGAAGCTGGAGCCAAAGTTGGGGAGAAGGTGAGAGGGAGCGGGTATGAAGAAGCAACTGCGCCCTGCTCGTGGGGAAATTTAGCTTCCTTCTTTCAAAGCATTACATGGGGCTCCGCTTCCACTGTGGAGCCTAGTGTGCCACAAAAGGTGTGTTCACGAACAAACTAAAACGCCCACCCCGCTATCAATGCCGACGCGTTGACGCCAAATGCCCAACTTCCTGTGTTCCGTCCACACTTTCCTACTTCCACTGGAGCAAGTCTACCAGCAGTGATCATGACGCACAGGGTGGGCAGGTCTCCGTGACGCACACGAATTTTCCGAAAAGGCCCACTCGGAAGGGGCTGGAGTCCTCCCGGAAGACGTCTCCACCGGATATAGGAGTTCCCTTCCACGCAGTTCCGGTCTTCCCGTCTCAAACCGCGAGTTCGAGGAAACATTTCGCCGTCCAGCCTGGCCCGGCTCGTTCTCCGACCTTTGGCGGCGCACAATGACTCATCAGTGACGCCACTGCCCGTCCACCAATCAGAACGCCGAAAGTCGCTAACGTCATCAATATCTTCCCGACGCTAAGCCCTGATTGGCCACCCTCTTCTTGTGACGTCACAATACTGCGTCATCGGCAAAACAGCGCCAGCTGTACACTCGGGCGATTGTTTATATGGCCACAGCGGCCGCCATGTTGGGTGAATCACGCCCTGAACGCCGAGTGGGGAGGACGCATCGGCGCTGCAGCGGCGAGGAATTCGTGAATTGCGCAAGCCGGCTGATTGGAGCGGGGTAGAGGAGCGCGAGGTGCGATGCGGTTCTACAGAGCGCGTGCGGCCGGCGTGGAGAGCGGAGCGGGCTCTGTGCAAGACGAGCAGGGCGTGCCGACGAGTGGCGTGCAGGGCGTGCTAGCGCCACTGACCAATTCTGGTGATCTGACGGTGCCTGTGTCCGTGTGCACGTCGGTGGAGAGCCTGAACTCTGGTCTGACGCGCACGACGCCGACGCTGACGCCGACGACGCTGCGCAACATCGAGGAGACGTTCATGGAGCTGGATCGTAGCCTGGTGACGCCGCCCGTCTCGCACCAGCACCAGGCCGGCTTCGTGACGCCGCAGGTGGCCGCCGGCGTCACGTACTCGCAGCTGGACCAGACCAAGTGGCAAGGCGGCGTGACGACTGTGACGGCCAGCCGCGGCGGTGGCGGCGGCGGTGTCAGCAGCCTGCTCGCCGAGCCGTCGCCGCGCGTCGTGCCGCAGGGGCACCGACGCGGCGGCCGCCGACCCAAGGACGACGACGAGCTGTCGCCCGAGGAGGAGCAGCGGCGCCGCATGCGCCGCGAGCGCAACAAGCAAGCGGCCGCGCGCTGCCGCCGCCGCCGCATGGATCTGACAAACACTCTGCAGATGGAGACCGAGGAGCTGGAGAACGAGCGTAAGCTGCTGGAGCGCGAGATCCAAGAGCTGCAGGCGCAGCGTGAGGAGCTGCACTTCCTGATGGAGGCGCACCGGCCCTGCTGCAAGCTCAGCCGCGATAAGGAGAACGCGCCAAAGCGCAAGGTGATCGTCAAGCACGAGCCGGACGTGGCACGCCTGGCACCGATCAAGTCGGAGCCGCTGCCGTCGCCGTCGCCGTCGCCGGCACCGGCGCAGCGCGCGCGCCCCACGTCTCTGTCGGTGGCACCGTTCGCGTCGGCCGCCGCCGCCAAGGAGCTGACCGGCCCCGGCGTGCCGATCAACACGCCCTCGCATGGACTGGGCCTCAACTTTGACTCCCTGATGGAGGGTGGCACGGGTCTGACGCCCATCACATCCGCCAGCCTGGTGCCCCTGCTGATACCGGCGGCCAGCTCGGCCAGCCTCGCCACGCCCGTCGTCTCGACGCAGGCCGACGCGCGACGCGGCGATCTGCTCAGCCCCGGCGTGCGCGAGCTGGTCTCGCTCTAACACCGCCAGCCGGCCGCGCCAGGCCCGGCCCGGCCCGGCCTCGTCGCCCGCTTGTTGACACGTTTTGAGGGGTATTTATTGATGTTGATTTTGTCGAGCTGCACCGTTTTGCCAGAGCACCGGAGCCGCCGCGGGGCGCCGGCTTTTATTTATACGCCTGATCAGTTCAACCCGGCTTGCACGAGCGCCTGTCACGTGCGCCTGTCGTGCCCTGTGTGTGTGTGTGCGTGAGCCAAGGCTGCAATACAACATCCATTGTCATAGTCCGCTCGTTGAGGACGCGAACGCCAGCGCACGCCGCCGCCAGCGCCCAGTCGCCGTCGGCGCGCGCGGCCGCATCGCGGTGCAGCGGCGGGCCCGCGCGGCCTGTCCGCGTTCGATGAGTGACGTGGCGGCCGCGGCGGCCGGCCGTCGGTCCGCCGACGGCCACGGCTGCATTCCTGGCCGCTGGCGCAACGGCGGGGCGGGGTCGGCGGCGGCCGGGGGCGACGTGACCATGCTGAGCTCCACCTGAGGCCGCTGGAGGGCGTGATGCCTGACCGAGGCCTGGCGTCTGTTCGAGCTCAGAGTGCAGTTGCGCCGGACATTGCGTGGGATTCCGCGCATCATTGCGACGACCGTATTGACGACAGGTCATAGAAATATCCGGCTTGCATCATGTAGCTTCCCGGTAATACCAACTGGTCTACGCGTCATCTGCGAGCACGCGGGACGCAGGTGCCCCGACAATTTACTTTCCACCGCCGCCTGGAATCATGAAGAGGAACCAAACCCCTAAAACATCACTTATGAATACCAAATTAGAACTGTAGCACGCTCTTTTGCCTCACATGGTACCATTTTTTTCATTCACTTGACATTAATGTTCATCTAATTCTGCGAAGTGGCCAGGACGCGATGCCATTGGGTGACGAATATCATGTGCTGGTTTATTCAAATATGACAACATAAAAGCTCAAAGCGTTCTACCGAAAAAAACTACCTGGTGAGTACGGCAATGCTGAATGCAATTAAGCTCTGCAGTAGCCGTGGGTGTGCTAGCACCATGGGTTCAGTGGTCTCCCGAGCCGCAGTGGCCGGACAACAGCACCCCATCCGGAGGTAACGGCTGTTAGAGTAACGTGGTGCCGCTTTGTTAGCGATGAGTGCGAAAGAGCTTAAAGCGTCTGTTTAGCCGACTAGGCCAGAAAATATATGTTAATTCACTGCTGGATAGACTGGATAGGCATACCGCAAGGGACTTCCACAAGGTTCACTTCAGGCCCACCACATGTCAGAAGGTGTCTGCATGATCAGGATGGGACTTCTACAAATAGCCCTGTGATGACAGCCATAGATTCTTGACACCTAAAGTGGTTCCAGAAATGTCAATGCCCACAATAGGATCATGGTATTCCGAGAAACTTGTGAATTTGAAAGCGTCCAGATGGCTCAAAATAACAATGGCATGAATTCGCATATTATGCTGTTTCATGTTCTTCTACCTGCCGATTGCACCAACGGCTGAAAACCACTCAATGCCCGACATTGGTGTACTACTACATACCATACAGAATGGCCCGTGAGTCGTTCTACGTCATGCATACTACGGGAATGTCGCGGGAGCAGAGACCATTCGTCGCGCGCAAAGATCATTCGTCGTTGACGCGTTCCCATGACACTATTCAGAATAGCTACATGGGTATGCGCCCAATGATCACCAAGGGACTCACTATTCAGAATAGCTACATGGGTATGCGCCCAATGATCACCAAGGGACTCACTATTCAGAATAGCTACATGGGTATGCGCCCAATGATCACCAAGGGACTCACTATTCAGAATAGCTACATGGGTATGCGCCCAATGATCACCAAGGGACTCACTATTCAGAATAGCTACATGGGTATGCGCCCAATGATCACCAAGGGGACTCACTATTCAGAATAGCTACATGGGTATGCGCCCAATGATCACCAAGGGACTCACTATTCAGAATAGCTACATGGGTATGCGCCCAATGATCACCAGGGGACTCGCTCAGAGTAAAAGGTCGTGGAGCGGTCAGAGGATCTGTAAGGTGGGTGACACGGCGGGAGTCAAATGGCCGCGAATGTCACGGCACCAGTTGACGGGCAGGAACGGATAAGACAGTCGGGGACTACAGCCGTTTTATTTCAAAACTGTGTCCTTTATGCGAGCGTTGTTTGGGCTTCATCCGCGCAGTCAGTGCCTAGCGAAGCAGCGCTGGGACCAGGAACATTTTAACGCACCAACGACCATTCGAGTCAGGCTACGCACGGCATGTAGCCCGACGACTGTGACGCTCGGTCAGGCAGATAAATAGCTTGTCATACCGTAGACACACCGTAATACCGTAGCAGTACATGCCATCGCATAGTTTGTCACATCCTCACCATAGTTCCAAAGGCAATGGGCTACGTTGGCGAGACATTTGTGCGTGGAGACAAGCAGGCATTTTTGTCCCTGAGGCCCACAAGTCAAGAACACAGTTTTCACGGCAGTTCATCATTCGAAAATCTCTCGCGAGCGTCATAATAGCAAGCGTGTCCAGAACAGGCCCACGTGACAGGATGTCAGCACTTCGACCCAAAAGACGGGATAAATTTGGTACGACGCCCCGAGTCCGTTCCGCAAAGACATCACACTGTCTTTAGTGGGATGCGTCGGCGTATATTTTCACTATATTCCGGGTAGTCACAATGTTGTTCAGAAAGCAATGTTAAATGCTTGTAAGCACCAGGCAGCCATCAAGGCGCCGAGGCTCTTTGAGTGGCGTTGTTCATGTGTGAACTTTGTGGCAGAAATGCATCACCTGCATCTTTTTATTACACAATAACTTGAATCGTAAGTGTAACTTGTGCGCGCTCACCGGGATGTAGGAAGGAGTGGGAGGCTTGAACCGGCAGCATTTATAAAGACTATTGACTGTCGTTCAGAAAAAGACTTCTTTGGGCCATTTTAATAAGCACGTGCCCACCAGTAGATACTCTCGAAATTGTTAGCTGGCGGCGTCACTGCGTCACATCTATTCGCTTCTAAACCCCCAGGGGTCGCGATCGGCAGTTTACTGAGGATGTTGGATTCATCTGAATGCGATGTGAGATATGGCTGCTTGTAAAATATCCACGCGCAGAGATTACGAGCAATAAAAGGAACATTACCCAAGACAGCTTCGGGGTCATCGGGTTCATTGCACATATATCGCAGGTGTGACTAGGGCACTCCCCACGCGGACTTTGAGCGTCACAAAGTCTTATTCTCGACCGTATCTCAATCTCACCATCCTTTAACCACATACACACGACATTACCCAGATACGATTCGGATTCAGCACACATCACTTTGACTACCCTTGGAACGAGAGGTCGAACTGCACCCTACTTACCCCCGCGGATGCTATCGCTCTCATGACGTCAGCGATATCCGAGATGAGAAATGTCACAGGAACAAAACAGGAGGATTGAGTGGGCGTGCCAATCTAGGACGGGGAGAGCCAAGCTTTATCCAGCCGTGGAGCACATAATCCAGCTGCATTCTGCCATGCAAGGCACAGCCGCAAGGGCGAATCCAGGAGGCGGGGGTGGGGGGGGGGGGGGGGGGCAATAGCTAATACAAGATGGCCAAAGTATAAGAAAAACTGACTCATTTCGGATGTGTAGGCACAAAAGAAGCATCTTTCACAAACAAATTGTAAAAAGTGTTGTTTCTAAAAATAAGCATGTTTTCGTACGCCCCTTGCGTTAATAAGAAGAGAAATGTGATGAGTTCTTGAAAATCCGGACACCTTTCTGGCTTTGGCTACCCGAGCCCCGTTGCTCCTCAATCCCCACCCCCACACCCGAAAGGCGGCGTTTTGGAACAGCTCTTGCATGTGCGTGTCCTCTTATCGCATGCCATTAGCAATGCGGCCTACCAGCAGAACTGTACTTTGCATCCTTTTTAATGGGTGTCGCAGCCTTTCAGGTGGAAGCTGAGCCGTAAATGCACGTTTCTAGACTGGTGTAGCCCATTCGGGCAGAAAATAAGTACTATTTTTAGCACATAATATTTGCCTTATTACTTCTTGTTGACTAGACCATCGTCTATCCAGTGGAAGTTAGAAGTAAAGTGGGAAGCGATTCAGCCCTCCCGCCCCCTTTAGACTTCGGAGTCGATTGGGCCGATTTTCTTGGACGAGATTCCAAACTACGGCTTGCGATCTGAAGTATTTTTGTACCCGGTCATTTCTTGACAAAAAATGTTACTTACGCAAGAATCTTCTGTCAGTTAAGGAGGGCTTTCAACTATCCTGTAATCGTTCGCATTTTGATGACGAGACTATGAGAATCTAAATGGGATATATGTCGGAATAGTTTTGAAAAATGACACTCCACCAAAACATCTGACATTGAGCATGCTGCTGGAATGCTTGTCGTAATGTTCAACCACTTTTACTCACCTTGTGATATTTACATCTGCCTCTGGGAATATCACAATTCATTAAGGCACGTAAAAGATATGGATTTCGTGTGGCAAGATATATGTTTGGCGCCGCGTTGAAATGTAAGCAAATCATAACAGCCCCTGTTCTTCCCCAAAACTCACGCACCTGGAGTCGCTCCCGAAGTGTGACGCACCGCCTCTGCACAATTAGAGCTGTGTTGGAACGTCATGAATCACGACTACTTTGGTAATAATGAAAAAAATAACATATAAGAATTGCCGACACTGAGATTGCACCCTTTATCTCCGCATCAAAACTGGTTCGGCCTCATAGTCATCATATGAACATATATACTGATATATGTACAAACCAGAACTATAGACATCAACAACCTTGAAAGGGCATGGTCAACGGTTATTGTGGTTCATGTGATAACGAAGGAGCTCTTTTGCATTCAACCTCGTCTTTCACCCGTGAGAAGTACCACAGAGCACAAACCCTTACACATATTAGTGCTAACATGCATGTCATATGCAGTTTATTTCCACCTTAATACTTTTTTTGCCACTGACGCAAGATGAAAATAAAAAATTGCAAGCATATCCACGGTAAAAAGTTTGAAAGGCCCACATTTTTACAGGTTAACCGTAATTCATTCAATGATCGTGAGAAGAAAATCTCAGGGAGGAACCGTTTCCCTTCTAAATGGTGGTAAGCACCCGCCTGTTCTGTTTTAAATCACTATTTTCGCATAACTCCTCCACCGGCATTTTTCCACACGACAATCGAGCGAACCTTGTGCCCTCAACAACATTTGATGCGGTTTCATCAGCCTGC